AGATGGAGTGACGTGTGATGGATAAGCATTGGGGATAAAATGACACGCTGCCCAATTATTGTCATTTATTACCTGAAGGGCGCCATTTCAGGATCTGATTAATATGATAGAATGGCTGTATTATCTACAAATGTTGTTAGCAAAGTATCGGGATTTGCGGGAATGTTAGTGATCAAGAAACTGTGGAGGAGAGTACTTGCAGTACGCTTGCAGCCCTGGGTAACGAAAAGAAAACAAAGTGGAGTCGAATGGAACGATTAGGAAAGCTGGATTAATAAGTTAATGGAATTTAAGAGGATTGAAGTTAATAGATTTTTGAGTTTTTTGATCTTTGTATTTTGAGAAAGAAAGCGGTCAATCATGCCGCTCGTGTTAATAATAGAAAGGTACTGGTGCAATATTTCTTGACTTTAAATGTAAACGATAAACTGCACGAATACTTTTGAAGTGTAGGATGTCCTAAGCAAAATCCAAACTGGTCTGATATATTTTCGGTATTCAAATTTAGATAGTGTAAACTTGAGAAGGATTTAAAAGAAAAGAACGGTCGTATACTGTCCTATTGGTCTATTACAGGAGCCTCCAAACTTTTTGGCTCGCGGGACACTTGTGGCCTCCACCAAGCCAGTGGAGACGGTCACTAAGTCTCGCGGGCCATGGTTTGTGATAAAAAAAAAAAGTGTTCTATAAATAACTCTTCAATTGTGAAATGAGCTTTCTAATAAAAACAACGCATGTAATAAATGTTGTAGTGACCTTGTGCTTGATTGATTCATTAAATTTCATATTTTTTAAATGGATTTTAACCATGTAAAATATTTTAATCAAGAAACCTTCACGTGCCGGATTGAAGATGCTTGGGGGCCAGATCTGTCCCGCGGGCTGTAGTTTGGAGACACCCGGTCAATGAGATAATAAAATATTAACATTTTCATCAAATCTATGTGATTTTCTTTTCTTTATATAAATCTATGTTTATTAGTTAAACTATGCAGAAAAAAAAAGATTTCATCCGGATCTATATCGCATCCTTTTCGAGGTGAAATACTCCACTCTTCATATCTCGCTGTGAGACTCAACAGAGATGTAATGGCGTTGTACAGATAGAAAAAAATAATTTAAAAAATTCCTTACCTACGGAAATAATCCTTCCTAAAGGCATATACTAGCATAACCACTTAAATAAATTGGTAGATTTTTAATGAAAGTTACGTCTATAAATATGTAAAACAGATTGAGATCATCTGAGTCCAAATAACCAATTATTGCAAAATAGTCTTTTATTTTTGGACAGCTCAGAAACTATAAACCAGAATAAACTGAAATTACGTATTAATGTATGGCTGGGACGATACAACTTTTTCAGCAAAATGGAATAACATATAATAGATTTTAACCACTTTTTCGATTTACTCGAAAACGGCTTTGATATTTTGATTAAACTCGTTACATCTATGGAAACTTGAATGATCTCAAATATAAAATATGCACTAACTATATTGGAATATTCTGACGGGAACAATACTAGTTCTAATTCATAAATACCTTCGCCAATTACTGAAGACTGAGCTGTGAAAGACGAGAGGATTGGAAACACCGTTCATCAGCTAATCAAGGTGTACCAGTGGTAGAGTAGATACATTCCGCTTTTTACTGTTTTTGAAAATTTTAATTTTTTTTTTTTTTTTAATTCTTTGATAGTAGTATGCAAATTATTGAAAAGAAGAATGGTTGGGATGATCATTAAAAAATAAAAATAAATAAGTATATTTATTTATTTATAAATAAGTATATTTTTGCCGACGTTTCGGCCCAAAGTTCAGGCCTTCATCAAGGCTGGTCGAAGGAAAGGATTCCGCGAGAAAAGTTTTGTTTGACTGATTCAGATTTTTTTTTTTTTTGACTGATGACACCTACCATTCTTCTCTTCAGTTATTCAATACAGTAAATCATCAATCCACAATTATGAAAATTATTTTTAATTAAGTTGATATTGTGCATGTTAGTTTTTTTTTATATTCAACTATATAGACTATTGAATAGAAAATAGAAAATCTCAACTTTCAGTCGACAACAAACTATTAATCTACAAGACAATCCTGAAACCTATTTGGACCTACGGAATAGAACTGTGGGGGACAGCAAAACTTTCTAACATCAAACGCATTCAATCCTTCCAGTCTAAAATCCTCCGAACAATAGTCGATGCTCCCTTCTATGTATCCAACAAAACCCTCCATAATGACCTTCATATCCCATTTGTTATTGTCCTAATCCCAAAAAATTTTTCCAAATTTCACCAGAAACTCACTCATCATCCAAATCCTGTAGCACAATCCCTATCTAGCTCCAGCCATCCCTACAATCCTTCCCGGAGGTTAAAACGGCAGTGGCCCCGCGACCTTTTGTAATATGTATATATTGGAGTAATGGCAATGGCCAGATTCTCCACTCAAGACATGAGCGTCTATTGCTATAGTGCCCTCCATCAGTTTCCACTGGTTTCAAATAACAGTGACGCGGCTGAGAGAGAAGCACTGGGATCTCCTGGAGTCCTGCCTTGGCTTCCACGTCGGGGAATAAGGCATGACTCAGAGTCCCCTGGGTGAATGTAAATATTGTACATAGGAGTGAATGTGATTTATTTACTTTAATTTCATCTAGCTTTTATCTATTATTTCATTTTTTTTTTTTTTGTACACAGGCATACCAACTTACTTAGTTTATTATTATTTTTTTTATATTTATTTTTCTTTATTATTGATATTAATTGTATGTGCATATTGTGTGAATGAATCATGTAGCCTTAATATTAATGCCCTTCAATGTGGCAGAATGTATTAATATTCAATAAAGAAAGTTAAGTTAAAAAAAAAAAAAGTTTTTATATTAAGGTGTGTTGCCAGTTTAGGTTATTTTAATTTCAAAGTGTCCTAGTTTTAATTTTAAGTCGATATCCATATACATTCTCGCTTTGTCGATTTCTCTCCCTCGTATATACTTGATTATTAATGTCACGATTCTAAACAGTTTGTGAGTTGAGGCCTGTTTTACAGTCAATGGAAGAACAATTGAAGGTGAAATTAGTAACTAACAGATAATCACTTTTGTTTTTTCTAAACTCTTTAAAAGTATTGACATCAGTTGTTTCATTCCGCATGAAGCATAAAAGTCATTGCTTTGTCTTAGTTGTGTAGTTATATTTATTCATACCAGCCATCTCGAGCAATAATTTTTCTTAGTCTTTTATCATTTTAAAATAACAATTAAATTGTCAGGACATCTTTTGTCACAGCTGATGTGTTACATTCTTTAGTTTTTATTATATTCGATCTCAAATGAACAGTAACAGACGTCTTAAGACCCATTAAAACATTGAAAAAAAAAAACAACTAAAAAAGCTACCCAGTGTATATCTGTTATAGGAGGAGAATGTCACAGAGGCATTCATTAAATTACTCTACGCTAATGTGAAAAAAATAATCCAGTTTTAAATGTTACTTAAATCCTATCAAAACTAATATCCGATGAGAAATAAATAAAATGGTTATCAAGGATTAAATGGGGTGAGGGATGGTAGTCAAGTTTCGGTACTCAAATTTTTTTCTGTTTTTGGATTCTATGTATTGTATGTAGCGACGTAAAATCTGACATTTTCAGGTAGTAGCTCTATATAAGTAAGGCACTCTGATATGATCCAGATCCTGGGTTTGAGTCCGAAAGTGGCAGATTATTATTAATCCTCTTCCAATTTTTTTTAAGCATTTCACTAGTTGAAAATAATTTAGTCTTCACTAAGATTTCAAAGCGCGATTTTCTTACAATTTTGTGATTTTATTAAAATTTTGTATTACGAGTTTAAACTCTGTAGGAACGGGGTCAAAACGTTCAGAAACAGCAATGAAGTCTGGGGTTAATGTCAATGTGAGTGGGTACATCTTTCAACGATGGAGTAAAAAATTTCGAGTGGGATACCTCAGCCTTGAAAACAAAAATGGTCGTGGAAGGACTTCTTCCGTTGATCACGATGCTCTGCTGGTTTTGGTCGAAAAAAAATCTCTTGAAACTCGAGTTCCTCGTACTTTAAACGACCTAAATACTCAAGAACACCCATTTCCTTTCCACTTGAACCGTAAGATAATTTGTTCAAAAATTGAAAATAAAGGTGGCCTACAAAAATATTGAACCGTTTGGTGTGTATACTTCCATCCCCAACATGTCAAAATAACGAGGTTATTAATATGCCAAACGGCCCAATATTTTTGTACGCCTCCTTTATTCCCAATTTTGTGATCAAATTATCTTACGGTTCAAGTGAAAGGAAATGTTTTCTTGAGTATTTAGTACCTAATTAAATAAACAAAGTTTGACTCCAAATTAAAAACGTCCTGATTCCTTAGAATTTTAGTAAATAAAAATGTTATAGGTTAGAATGAGATGAAGATATTCACGAAGTTTTAGGCGGATGTTAATAACTTGATAGGGAGCGAGATAGCTCTGTTGTAGGGCACTCAGCTTCCAATGCTCTAAGTCCCAGGTTCGAATTCCGGCTCACGACAGAAAAATTATTTATTCTGTTTCATTTGCCATGGGGCAACCCTGAGGTAGGGAGACCCTCCTGCGGTAAATCCAGCCTCTATTAAATGGGTACTCTTAATCAAATAATTTATTAAGGAGAAAATCTGGCGGTTGAGCGTGATCCTGGTCCGATCCCCGCTTTTCATAAGCCTTGGAACAGTACTGAACTCAAGACCCTTAATGGGTAGTAATGTTTGTAGTTTAATAATTTGATAAAAAGGGACCTGAAACACGACAAAAGACTAGCATTATTACTTTTTTTTTATAAAGGTTCTTGGAATGAATACTTCTATGATTCTTTACTTATTTGGATCAGATGTTTTTACCATGAACACTTTTCCAAATTAGTCTCTTTCTTAGTTCACACACGCACTCGTTTGTTTACTTATACTCAATTCCGGCCTCGTTTTTTACTATTATAGAACAATACAAAGCTAGATGTGATTAGGCTAATGCTGAGGCCTAGAACGGATCGATGTTGGAAGAGCCCTGAGTGGACCCTGAGTTACTCCATATCGAACGGTCCTGCTCACCTGACCGCCGTCTTCCCGAAGTGGGGGAGCACGCGAGTCTTCATTAGGGTAAAAGAGTTCGGTCCGTTCAGCCATGCGGGAGGAAATCTTCATAGTAGGAAGGCTCTATTCCAGGTAGGGATCTAGTCTTCAAGATATGTGTAGTCTTTTAAAAGGATCGGCACCCATGTGATACTCACCGCTGAAAGCTACGCGGTACCGTGTAATACGGATACCCTATTTGTTTATTTAAAAAAAAATACAGTAGCCAGCTCCTTAGAAGATTTGTACATGTGATCCATATGATGTATTCCAAAATATACCTTAATTTTGGAACAAGAAATTGGAAGTCGAAATCGTTGGGGCACATACTTGTAAAAATTCAGCAGTTCTTTGTAATTTGATTCCTTTTTTTTTTTTTTATGTATTCTTAGGGAGTGGTTTTCAAATTTCTGAAGAAAAGAGCCAGAGCCTGGTAAGTTATAAAACATTCGAGAGAGAAACCTCATTTTCAATAATTGTCGTTCCTGAAAATTGAGGGACAAATTTTCCTGATTTATTCTCTCTCTCTCTCTCTCTCTCTCTCTCTCTCTATATATATATATATATATATATATATATAGTTAAAAACAATAGTGCAGTAGAAAAAGAAGATCGTGGATTTATTGCAAAAATCACTAAGTTATATTTCATAAAATTAAATTACTATGTACTTTCATGAATTTCCCCTCAGTGAAATCAGAAAAATTTTGTACTTAGAATAACTATAGATGATAAAGAAAAGGGTTTGTATAATTGTCATGCCTGTTTGGTATTTGGTATTAATCCTTAGGGTGCGCTAACCCTTATTATTATTATTATTTAATGCACTTATGGTATAGTTAGTTTTGTCATTTTTATAGAGGAATAAGGTCGAAATTGCACCACTCCCAAAACAAACAAAAAAATTAACTTGACATACATCAAAAATGTACTTACAACGGTGACTTTGTGCAGTAAATCGGCTGTATTAATTTTCTTACATTTTATTACTTCAATATGCTGAAAGATTTTTTTAATTAGATCAAATAAAACATTATATGGTTCAAGATTGAGATTAATAAAATTTGTTTGGATTTTTTTTTCGCTAGAAAAATCTATAATCCTATTTTTTTTTTAGACCTTGGTTATATAATTTATAAAACATTTCATTTCATTGAGAAAACTTTTCTAAACACGTTATTTTTTATTTTAAAAAAAGAGTAAGGCTCAAAAGTTTTTAACTGCCCTATTGAAAGTTTGGAATCCTTTTTTTCTGGATACCGTAGTTTTTTTGCGTTAATTGGCCCTTGGCAATTTTTCGCATGGTACTGTAATGTAATGTGGAAATAATTAAATGCTAATTTAAAGAGGGGAGAACTATTATTGTTATTATTTTTGTCTTTGTTAGATTTCAAACGTTCATTATCGAAAATGATAAACCTAAACTTGTGCACAAACCTTAATTGACAAGTAAAATATAGATTATGTATTTTATTTTGTATCAAAAGTTCAAAGAGTAAATTATCAAATCTAGTAGGTTAAGGTTTCTATGATTTATGTCCTATATTACAGAATATAACAAAATATTGTTATATTTAAATACGAAATTCTTTTTGCACTTATAACTCGGTTTAGTTTTTGTTACGGTACAGTAAAGTGAGAATTCATGTATTTTAATGCAGCTTTTTAAGTCTAAAATTTAGTTATGCTGTTCCTCTATATTGAGTAAATTAGATATAACTTTTTTTCCCATTATGTTGTTGATGACGGAGCTCTTGGTTCGCGAAGTGGCGTTTTCTTGAGTAAATGTAAATAACTGTTTATCCTTGTGTTATGTTTACTTTTACACAATAGTTTATTGTTTATTGTTGAACAGCACTCTACACGAGTAACTTATCTATGAAGGATGATCGTTAAAAATAATAACGATACGTAGATCAGTCTACCTTGAGTGCATTTATCCGCGTTAATTGAGCTCGAGTAATTATGCAATAAGATGTAGTGCTGAAGTTGTGGAGGTTATAGTTAGATCTTCATCCTTGATCTGTTTCCTCGATGATTATCGGAACATTATTTCATTCGAGTTTGATTAATTAATCGGAAAGGCTTACTCTTCTTGTAGCAAGGAAGAATGACAGTGTGCACAGCGCCGTCGTTGCCCGGCAACTCTGGCAATAATCCCTCGCCCTCACACTGGCCCCGGAGAAATCCCGTTTAGCCTAACAGGTAGAGTTTCCCGAATGCGAGACCAAGACGAGTCTTGGTCTTACGCAAGAGTCTTGCAGTTACCTATTAGCTCATCACTATAGAGATATTATTGTGATTTTTCAGATAGGGGAAACCTAACCAAGCCCGAATGAAAAATTGGAAGAGTTAAATTCAAAAGTGTATTGGTTATACCAATTCTTAACATATAGTAAATACAATCTTCAAGCATTAGTAACTATTTTGTCTTAATTTTTGTTCACAAAAACGTTTTTTTTTTTTATCAATTGTGGTCTTGGTCTTGCAACAGTTAGGCGGGTCTTGATTGACCGATTTTGGGCATCACTACTGACTGGCGTGGAAGGGGAGAAGAAAAAAACTTTTAAGATATTGTTTACTGAAAAATGAATTTCCCCCTAATCTTTTTAAGATCAGAATGAATTGAATCAGAAAATGGTCAAGATATATTTTGATCAGGAGCTTTTTAACTGTCATTTATCTCGATATTCATTAAAAATAAATATGTATGTAATATAATAAACAAACGTAATAATATAACAACCAGACTTATTTTCAATGTTTTTACTTAGCTAGAACACCTCTGAATCCGTACCTTCACTTACATGTTTTTAGTAAAGCAATTCCTGCTCCGGATTCCTCTGATGATTCTAGTGCACATTAATGCAAAATTAATTCGTCGATGCATAAAAAAGTATCACTAGCGTAATTTTTTTCTATTTTTATTGGGCCCCTTCAAAAAGGATTTTATTGGGGACAAAAGCTCCATCAAACTAATGGTACACGTATGTTGCATGACCGCACTATTAAACAACCTTCCCCAAAATAGACACTGTAATCCACCTGGAAATTAATTAATTGGTTCTTGCTTGAGCTTAATTTTTGTTGTTAATTTGTCTGAGTATATTTAAAAATAGTACAACAGTTTTGCATTGTATATAAATACGGGTGAAACACATTTAAAATAAATAATTTCAGACAAGATACTTTTATTGGGTTAACGGGCGTTTCGGACTAAACTTGTTGGTCATCCTCAGGGCTATCGTTATAGAAATATCTTGACAATTATGCTTCATCATTATAATTGATCAGTCGACTACTTATCCATCTCTAAAGTATTATTGTATAATTATACGTCGCTTAAATATAAACGCTCTTTTTCTTTCTGGAATCGTTAAGATTTTTTATGAAGAGGATTTATTTTAAAAAGGGTTCATTCAGCATCTTCTCAACTCAGTAGTTATTTTAAAAGAAAAAAAAAAGTAGAAAATCTCGAAAACTGAATTTAATCTTTCAACGATCTCTTCTGGGTTATTGGACATTAACCTATGCGTTGCCTTTTGTTTCTACTATATTTTTTCCTTCTCGCCCTCATTCATAGTAAGGTTTTGCTTATCAGTTACTGTTTGTTTGTAGATACATAATATCGACTGCTCCAAAACAATGCCTCCCTATTTATGATAATGACACATCCTGTTGCGTACTTGTTGCTTTGTCGATGAATTAACCTCATTTTATGGCAGAAAACAAATTTATATTTTTAAAAAATGCCTAAGGATTCTATTGAAAAGTTCGACAAGCTGATTACAAAAATAAAAATAATAAATAAAATTAGGATTCGTATCGACTTCAGATCGATCTCTGATTTCTTTGAGATAATGTTTTTTGTTTTTTGTTTGAGCTATTATGGATTAGAACAACTTAATAGAAGACAATGTGTTACTGTCGAACAAATGGAGTAAAGCCAATTCAACTGGATATATTTGCAAGAGGCATCAGACTGTCTTTTTACTTCCAAAATAAAACAATCAATTTATCAATTATTACACCAATCTCTAACCGCAGGTAAACATGGAAGCTGAGAGATCTTTTAAGACAAGAAATAAAAGTTGTAACTGTCAAAGGATATCCAGTTTGGATTCGGTTCTAGTAGGTTCTATTGAATTTTACCCCGTGGATAACCTAGTAGCTACTGGAATCACGAAGAACCGCTCCAGCAACTAACATTACTTCATTACTTATGGCTTACCAAAGCCTTGTTTATTTCATGTGTGTCATGAATATTTATCGGTTCATTGTTAAATAATAATTCAAACAGTAAGACGTTTATTAGTCACATTAGCTAGTAACGTTTGTATGTCGATTGCTAATATAAAACCATTGCTTGTTTGAAAATAGCATGTTATCTGACTAATATTAAACTGTTATGACGAAAGAATGAATGGTAATTCGGGGTATTTTAAGTTGGTCGTATTTTTATTGCTTCAGGAACGTCAGGCAGTATTCTTTTATTTTATAATGTTATTTATTTTTTAAGTAATAATTTTAAAGAAAACATGATTATATTTCCACTTGATTGCTTATTATTTTTTACTTTCACTTACGTATATATAGTTATATAGTTATTACGTATATATACTTTTATTTTGGCCAGATGTAGTATTTTAATTATGTTCTATTTTGTTATTCTAAAGGGACTTTGTCCCAGAATAAAGTTATTTTATATTTATATTTCTATATATGTAATATATAGTAAGGGTAAATCGTGAAAATTTTCGAATCTCAATTTTCAACGGAAATACATGTTTTGAGGTCCTCTGCGTCGAAATAACCAAGTCTCGCAAAATGGTCTGTGTGTGTGTGTGTTAACAGTCTAGCTCATAAACGAAAAGTAGTACGAAACTGATTGGACGAAACGAACTGGGTCAGATGTGACAGCAACTTTTTCGTTTAAATCGGCTAACCGGAAGTGCCACATTATATGAACGCTGAAACACATTTTTACAATTTTCTCAAAAACGGCTCTAATGATTTTGATTAAACTCGGTGTATCATTGTATAATTAAGTGATCGTGATCTCTTAGGTTTGATGATTTAGGTCTTATCCCCGTTGATGTCACTTTACAGAGCTTAAATGCCCAATGTTCATATGCGTCTTCCTCTACAGTACCTTCAATATGGTTTATTTTAAATAATCAACTATCTCTCATTATTAAAAGTTACGAAAAAAAATGCTAAATATAACTTTTGAAAGAATTTGATAATCGAATAAAGGAGAAATAAATAAAAATGCTTATACAGGTCGAAAATGAATCTCCGGAAATACAAGTCAGAAGGTATAAGTGTAATATATAAGTGGAGAGTTTTAGAAAAAAATAATAAATTCTGAAAACCAACATTATTTAACGTAAATCGCATGTTTCCAAGGAAATTAAATGAAATTTTCTTACTAAATCTAAATTTTTTTTATAAGAAATAAAACGTAAAACAGAAATATACTTTAATGCAGTTACTGGTTGCCATGGAGATAGCTGTTACAGATAAGGTTAGGTTGGCACGATTTCCCCGCGGGTACGTTGTGTCTCAGAGCTCTATGTTGGAGTCTCTGGTGCATAGTGTTTAAAACATAATGCCTAACAAAATACGTTTTGGTTTGGACACAGTAACGATAACATCGAATTTTCTTCTTCTTCTGCTATGGCGCTACAACTCGTATGGAGTCAGGGACTCCTGCAGCTCCAACTGCCAGTTATGTTTGAGAAGTGCACCCGTCTTCCAATTGTGGACTCCAGCGATGCGGGTCGTCTGCTTTCACTCCACCAACCCTTCAAAGTTTTGGTCTACCTATCCGCCCTGTGTGAATTCTCTCCTCTAATAATTTTCTTTAGTGAACTTGTCCCCTCCCTCCCATATTAACCTCCCAATGTAAAATGTACCATTACAAGCCATGAAGGGTCTTGGGTTCAGTATTTTGTAAGGAATATCTGTTTCAAGGCCAATAACATTAGTTATGTTGTATTTTGTACTAAAAAATAGTTTTTAGGGCGAACCCACTGACCTATCTATTTTTTTCGTGTATTTTATTTATTTATTTGTGCAGATTTTAATGATGTCATACTGAGCAGCCAGCTATTCCATATTTTTAAAAGAGTTGAAAATTTCTAATTCTTTTTGCCACCTAAATCTTTTCCAAGATATTTTTAGTTTTTTACTGTCTTTTACAAGGTGTCTTTGATAAGCATGTTTAATTTTATAAATATATTAATATAACTTTACCAAAACTCTATGCCCTCAGATAACTGACATAATAACTGGCAGTTATTTGTATGTTTTTGGTTAACAATAAAAAATAAAATAATCGCCTCTCTTTATTATGATCGCATTACTGTTATAACTTCTCCTTTCTGAGCTATGCAGTCCGTTAAAGTGCATCAAGGTTGCACATATTCTCCGTAGAGATTAACCGGTTTGTATAGAATACAAATGTCTAAGGTATCTGTGTGCTTATAGAGATCATGCCAGAAATTTAAATTTAAACCGCAAGATGTAAATTAGTATCCTTTTATTTAGAAAGTACTTATCGTCCTAAACTAAAAAATGATCGTCATTTACTTCATATAGATGTATAATATAGCATGTGATATAGTTTAAAATGGTATGATATTTGAGTTCTACCAATGGGTAGTTTCTCTTCATGTTGTACATGTCATGTTACCAATGTCACATTTACTTGTTGTATTTTCCATGTAATACAGTTGTAAATTTCATTAAAATAAAAAAAATAAATAAAAATAAATAAAATGGTATGATATTACTTTGAGTAGTACTATCTTGAATAGGACGTTTCCATTTTTCCTTTTTACCGTCACTAAAATAATTTTAATATTTCTTGGCTTCTATTGAAGATAATTAAGAACGTTTTGTATTAATACTTAGGGCAAAACTACTGGACATATCTAGTTTTTTAAAATTATTTTTACTTGCTTTAACGATACTGTTTTCCAATTTATCGGAAGAGTTAAAAATAATGATATTTCATTATTTTCAAAATCTTTCTGCCAGAAGGCAAGAGTTGTTTTCTCCCATTTTATTTCATTTTCTTTCAGTCGATCAGAGTTTTATAATCTTCTAAAACGTCCTCGACTAAAACAATTATAAGTTTTTAGAAAATATAATTTAAACACGAAGCTTTCAAGAACTTCTGAATCATTTTTTTTTTTAAAGTAGGTGAAAAAAATTACCACGATTCTTGAATGAGCAGCCACCCTAATGTTTCAGGTCTATATTTCTTCAGACCCCTTTCAAGGAAGGAAGTGTGTAGGCTGGCTGGGAGGAGAGTTTTAATTTATGTTCTATTTTTTTTTCTCTCTGTTTTATTTTTATTTGCTATTTAAGAGAATGTGAATCGTATAATCTTGACGCATATTGTCATTTAGTATATTACATTTAGTTAAATGAATTTATAATATAGCATAATATTTATTTATATAAATAGTATAGTTCTGTTGATGCAATTTTTAATGTTGATACAAGTTTTAATGATTCCGGAGTTTACATATCCTATGCACCTCTGCGACTGATTACTGTATTGGATACTCTGTTCCAGTCTACATATGATTAAGCAGCAGAAATAGCGGAGTGTGGTAAAGGACAAAGTGTTGGTCATGGCTACCAAGGAATGGAGGATGGAAGGATGGAAGGGAGTCAGAGTATACAGACACCTATGTAAAAATCATTTACCTCTATACATCCTTTCGTGGAGTCCGGTGATATAAGTCCAATCCCTCTGTCGCAAATACGGCAAATAGTCTAAATCACCAATCCATGTGCTGAATAAATGCTCTTAACAACTCCTTCGAATATTATAATAAGGCCAAGTATGTAAGGAGGCTCTTTGAAGAAAAAGATTTGCTTCTATATTTACAGGGATAGATCCGCCAGATATGCAGATATTGTTGCATTCCCCAAGACCGGAAGGATAGAACTGCTCCTGGATGCAGCATTGAGATTGAAATGAATGACATCGATCGAGAAGTGGAATTGTAAAGGAAAAAAAGAATATAATGAGGAATGCATCCCTCTCTTAAAAGAAAAAATCGCGATACCTTTGGGGAGATAGAATTCACCGTCTCTGGTTTGATTTCTCGAGTTACGAAAAGAACAAGAAGCTTTCTAGAAGATGTTAGTGTTTATATACTATAGAAATACTATTGTAATTTGTTTAGATAGGATAAATCTAACTAAGCCCTAATGAAAAATTAGAAGAGTTAAATGCAAAAGTATATTGGTTATAGCAATTCTTTACATATAGTAACTAAAATTGCCAAGTATTAGTAACCACTTTGCTTTAATTTTTATTTAAAAAATCGATTTTGTTTTACCATTCTTGATCTTGGCAACAGTTAGGCGGTATTGGTCTTGGTTCTTCTTTATTAGTAGTCTGAGATCTCATGCTTTATCATTAATTCAACAAACTTATTCAAGTCCATTATTATTAGTTAAATCAAAGTAACAAAACATAGACATTAGATATACTAGATGCGTTGCAACCAAGTTTCAAATGCCATAAAAGAATAAATAAATAAAGGATCACTGAAAAAGAACCTTCGAAGAAACATGTCAGAATTCAAAATTATAAATATAATCATAGTTTACCTTGACGTATAAAAAATTCAAACGTGGACTGGTATCCTACAATTAACCGTTGATTATGGATCCTATACATCTTAAGGAATACTCAAGTAGGGCTCTTCAATTATTCAACCGTTAACGACCTTTTCATTTTCGGTTTATACATTATAGTTCGATTTGTTCCAAATGTCCCTTCGATTTATCGGAATTGTCGAGTTGCTATTTCAGACGATTGAGATAATGAGTTAGTGATACCAATATCCCAGGCAGTCAATGATAGTAGACCAAGTTCGGTCTTGGAGTATTATGGTTGTTTGTGAGAAGATAGTTCAAAATTCCCTCGTTACGGGGAGTGGTGGGGGCGGATCAGAAGATCTAAAAGATAACATTTAATTCGTACGAACTACCGGTTCACTTGAGGGCCCTCAGGTGACAAATATCTTTCTTAAGCCGTCTTAAAAATGGTAATCTGTTTTTGCACAATTCGTATACCAATCTATTAACAGTCACTGCATAAATAAGTAGAATATTGCCCATAATTTGAATGTTGCCTATTAATAACTCATGAGAGTTATTTTCCTTGTGATAATTTAAAATTTGGGAAGTTGCCTGAACAATGGTTAATAATTAACTGCACTAAATTTTCGATTATCGCTTGAGAAAATATTCTGAATTATCTATGCTTCTCTTCTATTGACTCACGGAAACCAAGAAATATGGAGCATTAGCAAACTTTCTCTATTTAATTATGTATTAAAAACATCCATTTTCTTTTCACTTGAATCGTAAGATTATTTGATAACAAGATCGAGAAAAAATGTTGCCATCCATCCCCAACTTGTCAAAATAACGAGTTATACAGGCCAAACGGCCCAACATTTTTTTTAGACCATCCTTTTTTCGATTTAATTATTTCATGATTCCAGTTAAAAAGCAAATGGGTGTTTATGACTTTTTAGTACCTCATTAAATCAACCAATTTAATTTAAAAACGCCCTATTTCTGAAAATTTTCGCAGATGATAAATTTGTAGGTTACAATAAAATGAAGACATTCTCCAAGTTTTAGGCGAGTTGATGAAAAGTTGTCTGTACCACAGATTATAACCAAATTAACGATCATCATTATTTTAGTGATTTTTTGATATGCATTAGTGTGTTGAACCTAATAAACAAAGAAAGATTTTATATAGAAAAAATAATATATGATAAAAAATAATACAATTATTTTAAGAAGTGATCAGTAATTTAATAATTGATCATAAAACATCGTTTGAAAAAGGCTTGCCTTCCTCGCATTTGTAGAAGAATGAGCTCCCTAGACTAAAATTATTTTTGTTTTCCTCCTGCCATTCCTCTTCGGCTATATAGGGTTTTTTACGGAGCCAGGAGATAGGACGGTGAATTAAATGCCAGTGTTAAAAGCTTCCGGCACCTTTATTTGAACTCGTAATATTCAGTATATTCTTCACAGTAATCTTCAGATTTTCGGGCTACGCGTTTTCTGGCCACCCTCTTCCCTCAGGATTTTTACCTCTCCCTTCCTTGACTTTTCAGTTATGTGGAATTTAGCCATAGTTCTCGGGCTATCCGGGAAATCTTGCGCCAGGGGAGATGGCGGGAGATATGTGGCAGGGTTATAAGTCCCGCTGGCACAGGGATTTGAATCATAATCTTCGGTTTATCAAGTTGCCGGGCAACCTGTGTTCGGCATACGCGTTAGCCCCCATCCTCCTTCCCTTCCCTACTCCCTCCCCGGTTAGAATTTTGAACTGCCTGATGAGTAACATCGATGCCAAGTTTCATCCAAAACGACTTTTCCAAACTTGTGAATTACATAGACTGAATCTCGACTTTCCCATTCTGTGAGATTTTTTCTTGTTTTCAATTTTTTCGTTTCGAATATTGATTCTATGTTCTTTTTGGATGGTTTTCTTTTATTCAAGCTGCTGTAGAGTAAATTATCTGTCCCCTTACAAGTTTTTTTTTAGATCCGATTTGTCCTTAGAAACGCTGTATTCTTTTATTGTATCTGGGTGTTCCTATGGCAGCTGCGGAGGAATATATTACAGCTATCTAGGAATCAATCGTGAACTGCCCGAGCTGCCATTTGCGGTAGTAATCTTCATCGAACTGGCACTTAGCCTGACAGGAGCTCGATGGTGACCCCCTGCCCATCACATTCCATTCTTTCCACCCTCATTTGTAGTGTGCTCTGCCGTGCCAACCATATCTAGATCATCGATTGGTACCAGAAGTCATTAGCCTTGGGCCTGTATTGATGAATTACTCTCATTCAAGTAATTGATATAATAATATCCACTCTTATCCTCCGCGTACACCAGTGATAATTCGTTTGAATCTGAGAAGCTTATTTTCTAATTACCAACACATTTAAACAAACTAAAAACAACCTTATTTTAAGACGAAATGTATTGAATTTTATTTATCTTTATAATCTGTTAAAAACCAATTCTTAAAACTAGTTGGCCCGTGCGAATAATTCGCAGAAAATTTTGTTTAGTGAAGAAATATAAATAACCAAAACAATATGAAAATAAGTAGTTCCTATGTACTATACAAGGAAGGAATTAATATTTTTTCCTTAATCGATTACAATATTCCATTAAACATAACAGACCAACATATTTATACAAATTGCTTTGAAAGACAAATGCCCCGATCATAGGATATTCTAAATTATTAAAAAAAATAAAATGTAAGAACAACCTTATGTCTTTAAGAAATAATAAAGTTAATATAAAAGCCAGGAAGAAAAAGTAGTAGACTATTCTACTCCTAAATGCGATATCTTTAAACAGGAAGACATTATTAAGTTTACCAAAACTAATGGTCTGTATCTTTGTTAATAATTGTCCGTTTTTTTACGATTTTTTGTTTCGTTTTGTAGATAATTTAGTAATCTTTCTAATTATCATGGGTTCAATCGAGAAAAAAAATGAATACTTTTTGAGTTATTCGCAAATAAAGTTTCTTTTCCTCCATAACATTTTTTCCAGAAATTTCGGGGGATGGGACTATTTTTCGCATGTGAAGGAGAAGAATATCTTCAAAATGAGTGGTTAAGAATGTGATGACATTGGATGTGATGAAGAATTGACGAAGTTATAATATATTATTAATTATATAATTTTAATATAATATTTTATTTGAAAACACCATGGCATTAACGAGAGATAAATAAAATGCTTATAATGCTCTAAAAATCGCGTCATTCAACAATTCAGCTTAGAAGACCAGTATCAACTAGAGATAAACTTTTATCCCTTCGAATTAAAATAGAAACTTTAAATTCCTTCCCTCCTTTTCAATTTTAAAGAATATTACAACAGGCGTGAAATTCATGAGATTATAAATACCTATGTACTAGTGGACGTATCTTGTTCTATTTATCTTGAAGGAACCAGAAGCCCAATGAGCAAAACCTGTTCATACACTGTAAATATGTAATCTTACACAACCTGTGTGAGGTTTTTAAATGTCAAATCAGCTTTTCCGTGAGGTATAGGTGTTTTAAAAATCTATATTCAGTATAGACTCCAATGTTAGTGAGATTTTCTTAACAATTACATTTAGAACACAAAAATGATCATTTTACATCATGTTTATAGTAATTTTAAACTGGCAAGAAGGACGACCCAAAGAGACTTATCAGATTTTTAATAAGTTTGTCCTCTTGAGAGCTATACATTTTTTAAACAGTTAAGATATTAAATGTATATAATTATATATTAAAAAAAAAGGTTGTGACGCATAAGCTTTCGCAACTCAAACAATATTTCATTGTTTTAATAAATATGTTTGACTAAGTTACTTATCAGAACCGTCCTATAAGTTCTGCTCAGAATGTTTGAACGTTTGTTAAAAACTATTCTTAATACAAATTTTAATATTGGATTCGTAACCATATTGAGTTTGGTGACGTGGAAGTTGTTCATTTATCATTTCTTATCGATCCCTTTCATCTTAGACCATAAACCACTAAGGTCAGAGGTAGCAGTGATAATTTTTCATTCCTGTTTTAGAATAATAGCGGATTATTTTAAAACACATGTTACGTAACAGGCGTGCTGTAGGTACCTTATTCTTTAAAATATGGTTAATAAGTAGGTAACGAATCTTATATGATTTATATATTCGATTCTCACATTCTAAAAGTTACAAAATCTTCCCATATGTGTCTCGGCCTGATTTTTCTATTAATTCTGCCATGTTTATTTAATGATTCATTCCTCAACCTCCTCACCTTCTTCATAATCTCATTCCAATCTTCAGGATGCTATAATTTCAATTATTTTTACTGGTTTAAATCCTGTAAAAATTTCGATTCAACTTGTATTTGTGTTCTTTTTTTTAGGTCTTGCTC